GGGGTCGCGGCATTAGGAAGGTTGAGAACCACCGCTCTAGAGCATGGACTATTTCTGCATATGTTAAATTACTGCTGGTATTACAAAGCAAAATATACAAATACAGTAATGCCTTGGTTTGCGAGCATAATTAATTCCGGAAACAGCGCTCGTTTACCAAGTTAAAATGTATTAGAAATGTTTGCTCGTCTTGCGGAACACTCACAAAGTTACTCGCAATCCAAGGTTTTACTGTATAGTAATTTAAAAGTAGACTGTGATGTCAGAGATGCAAAGTACCTCAGATTCAGCAAAATCCTAACTTCACAGTTGGAAGCAGAATCTCTGAATCTTAGCTCCACCATTGACAAGTGACTTGACGTCTCTGATTCTCCATTTCTAAATGCTTAACCTGGAGAATACCACCAATTGCACTGGGTTGAGAGGAAGAAATGAGAACATGTACGTATATAGTAAGCTATCTAGTAAGCTCTCGGCACAGTGCCCAGCGTCAACAAGTACTGGCCATCACTGTTGTGCTGCTATTATTACCAAAGGAAAAAGTACACAGCAATCACCCCAAAGGAGTTAAACTTAAGCAATACATACACTAGTCTTTTCAACTCTCTTCAAATAACGAAAGGAGACTACCACAAAAATAAAACTAATAAAATTTACAAAGACCATATGAATAAGTTCTCCAAGGTCTACTATATTTTACTACCATTTTTTCAAGAAAAATCTAAGTTCCATTCTGACCTGAGCATATACTAAGATTTCATACATAAGACATTTATTACTTCGTCGCCCAATAACTTAAAAACAGAATTAATCTTTTAATAAGAATTAACTATCATTTTAATAAGAAATAGCTAAGAATGTCCATTAACATTTTTTGTAAAAGTAAAAAAATTAGAAACAGGCTAAATGTCTATTAATATGGAAAATACATGAAAAAAATTAAGCAGCTATAAACAGAATGAGAGAGATTTACTAATATGGAATGATCTACATCTCGTCAAGTAAAAAAACACATAAAGTACAACCAAAAAAATAACTTACGTTCTGTGCATACATATTTATGCACTTAAATTCATACACAAAGAATTCAAAGTATGTAACCAATGGTGACCTCTTGGTTTAACTCTGCATAGTTCTGTTATTTGACTATTCCAGCAAGACTGTATTTATGTAGTAACTTGTGTAAATTATGAACCCCAAGGAAAGTTAGCCAATAAATACACTAGGCTCAAATTAAATAAAAATAAGCTTTAGAAAGCACTTTATAGTTTACAAAAGAATTTATAACCTTTTAAATAAATCTTTTAACACCTTACCTAATATGATCCCCACAATAAGCTTCTAGAATTTAAGGCATTATCCTCACTTTAAAAGTAAAAACAGACTCAAGTATTTATTAATTCACAATTAATAAACGCACAGCCAAAATGGAAACATTGTGTTCTGGTCTTCAGGCTACAGGACCTCCATAAATTGGAAATGCTGGCATCTACACCAAGGCTCTCTAAATCTGTGTAGTGCTTCTATTCATGGGAAAGTTTATAGTGTGGAGGAAAAAGCATTAGAGCAGGAGTCAAAAGACCTGGGTTCTATTCTTGACTGGCATCATCACTAAACTTCATAGTAAATCAAACTCTTATGACCAAAATTTTCTGTGGCTACACAGCAGATTCAACAGTGATGTTTTTAAAAAATACTAATACCCAGGCCTGACCTCCAGAGATTAGGACTTAATTGGTGGGGGGTACTAGCACATTTATAAGACGCTCCTCAGGTTATTCTAATTCAGCTTGATTAAGACCACAGCTTTAAGACTTACTACCCTTACCTGATAAAAATAACAGACAATAAAAGTCACTTGTGCTATGTACTTTGCAGAGTTGAAATATGAGATGAAAGTTATATGGGAAAGCCCCTTATAAAAAAATAAACGCCTTACAGATGTAAAGGAATTGTTTATTCATTCAAACATGCACCGCATCTTCTGTGTGCCAGGCATGTGCTTGGGATGCAGAGAGAAGGCATCACCCTCAGGAAGCTGTGGAGCTATCACATCCTTAAATAACTAACAAGCAGTGGGGAAAACCACAGCGGAGGCACAAAGATGGTGGTGACCAGCCCAGCCTTGGGACCTGAAGGTGCATAGAGGTGATGGTGGGAAGAGGGCTTAGAAAGACCTGCGCAGGGGAGAACTTCAGGCTACATCATGGCATTCACATCACACCCAGGCAAGTAGTTAAGGATGGCCAGAGGTTCTCAAGAGAGAGGTGTAGGGGCCCTGGAGGTCCTTGAGACTTTTTCAGGGAATCTGTGAGGTTAAAACTATTTTAATAACAATACTAAAACACATCACCACTAAAAACTAGAAAGAACCCAAATATCCTCCAACTGGTAAACAGACAAACTGCAGTATATTCATACATCAGAATAAGACTCAGCGATAAAAAGGAACAAATTAGTGAAACACACAAGAAAGAGCATGGATCAATCTCAAATGCATTATGCTAAATGAAAGAAGCCAGACTCACAAGGCTACAGACTGTATGTACAGACTGTATGATTCCATTTATATGACGTTCTGGCAAGGGCAAAACCACAGGGCTAAAAAACAGGTCAGAGGGTGCTGAGGCTAAGGGTAGGAGAATATCTGGGGTAACGGAAATGTTCTGTATCTTCATTGTGGTTACATGACCTTATGTGTTTGTCAAAACCCAGAGGAACTGGACACTAAAAAGGGTGGCTTTCACTGTATATGTTACACCTCAATAAATCTAACTTTTAAAAATCATAACATGCTATTTGCCCTTTTTGCTCTCATTCCCTGTAAGTCTATGTTTTCCAGAAGCTGTATGACTGTGATGACATCATCAGTCTGTACTAAGGAAATGTAAGGTTATGCATTCTCATGTTTTCAATTTTTCTCCATTTTAATTTCTAATACAGTAAATAATGAAGAATATAATCCACGTAAATAAAAGCTCTCTTGGGGCTTCAATAATTTTTAACAGTAGGAAGGGTTTCTGAGACAAAAAAGCTTGAGAAACACTGTTAGGAACACTGGGGAGGCCCTAAAGTATTCTAAGCAGAGAGCAACAAGACCCAACTTTACAAAGACTCGTGCAGAGAAATTAGTTAAGAAGTTACTACAAAGCTCTAACTGAGGCTGATCGCAGGGCACACTGGCAAGGAATTATGTCTACGTGCCACCTGTAGCATGTTATAAATCGCAAGCCAGTATCGCTTTCCTGCACTGTCTCTTTGTTGGTGTGCTAATGTTTTGCAAGCTAACTTCTATTAACTGATAATGTACTTAGAAAACAATCTGCTACAACTGCCATCCTACAATGCATTACTGATGAGTGATTTTGGGATTATTTGCTCAGCTGCCACTGCCCCTCTTCAAACAATGCCAATAATTTAAAATTGAATTTTACATATGAAAAGTCACCATCCTGAAAAAGTACAAATACTAATTTAGAAGTGACTCAAAATCAATTAGTAAACTGAGGTAAATAATTAAAAAGCCAATATATTACTTCTCTGAAATATATCCAGAAACATTATGACAATCCCAACTCAGCACAATTTTTTCTGTGCTATGTGGTTTTGGGTTTTTGTTTTGTTTTTTGTTTTGTTTTGTTTTGGGGGGGAGCAGTTATTATCTTTTTCCTCCCCAGGGAAAATTCATTTCTAAGTACCAGCCCTTTAAATTCTAAATTATTTCAAGTACAGATCTTTTCCTATAATCTTCTCATGCCCAGAATTATTATCAGTCCTTAGGGATGCCACAGAGGTAGAGATATTAACATTAAAACCATCCATGTATGTCTTTAAGCTTTAAATATATAAATAATAGATTATAAATACAGAGATAGACAGACAGACTGATGCTAGATCAATCAATCTGGGAGGTAAATGGAAGGTAGAGGGATGGTTTCCTTCCCCTTAAAAAAACAAAACAAAACAAAACAAAACTTAAATATAGTTTACAAGCCATTTTAAATAGACATGGGGGGTGGGGGAGTGCACACACACTTTAATTGCCACCACATATTGCTTCTGTAATTGTTTTAAGTAGCCAACCCCACTGACACCTCTTAGGTAATCCCAAACAGGTGAAAACTTGTCTGGATAATTCAATTAGCCTCCTTTTAAAAAATTCACCTATACTTTCATGTGAAAGGGCACAGGGACAGCTCCACACGTCTGCCAATGTAGCTGTGTTATTAAGACAAAGCAAAATTAGATCCTTACCTGAAAGGACAGTCCTTTTGATCTACCTCTTATACAAAAATCTTGGAAATGAGGTTACAGTCAGTACTGCAGGAGATTCAAATTTGAAACTGAACCTATGGATTGAAAAGGGAGAAATAATTAATTCGAAATACAGGCACAATGAAGATAAAAACATCAATTTGATCAAAGATGAAATTTCCGTACACTTGTTAAAGCCAAATGGTTTCGCAGGAAACCTGTTTTCTGTGACTCAACTCCAAAATGGAAAACGTGGGTGGTTCTTCCTGTCTTACCATTAAGAGTCAGCCAATTGGCTGATGAAGTTTTCACACAACTTAAGCTCAAACTCCAGCCTTCCATCTGCTCTAATACTGTCATACCTGAGCGAAATGAAAGGGGAGTAAAGGCTTCCTTCAGCCTCAAAGTCAGTCTCTAACTGGGTACCTTTGATTTATTCTATCTAGGCCATATTTAAGCAAACTACCAGGTTCTACAAAACTCCAAATCCAGAAGATGTGAAAAATAATGACAGCAAAAATCACAAAATAACTCAGGGACACAGTGGCTATCTCTTGCTTTGGAGCTGTAACTTCTAAAAAATGACAAGTGAGTCTCTCTTGGGTACTAAGCAACAACAGCCCCGCAATTTTGGCGCAAGGGCTCCCGGCCCAGGCATCTTCACCAAAGCTGCACTCCCTCCCTCCCCGCAAGCCACTCATCATTTGCCAAGACACGCCTGCCAACAGATACCAAATAGGAACGTCTTGGCCTATGGCTGCCAGATTGGAATATGAATCCAATAATTCTGTAGGGTATTTCTGCATATCCACCTAGAGCTAGTAAACTAGCTGATGTGATACAGACTTAACTGAAAACACACACAACAGTACGCCTTCAAGGAGAAAGAGACCATGGGTACATGATACTAGCATGGTAAAACAATCGCATACAGTAAGTCCTCACTTAACGCCATCGACAGGTTCTGTGACGCTCAACAAAGCGACAGATAATGAAACCAATTTTACCGCAGGCTAATTGATATTAACAAGAGGTGAGTTCCTACAGCATCTAATGAACGTTATAACGAAACAGCATTAGAGGACCTGCTGTATATACATTTCTGCCAGAGGCCACCTTACATTTATACCTATCTATCATCCATGGAAAATCTGCAAATATAAGACAATAAAATGTCAGATGGTTACTTCTAACATTAATACAAGGACTCCAAGTGGCAAACTGCCTCGAGGTGGCAACTGTCCAGTTCCTAAAGGTTCGAGGCCCAATTTGAAAATTCTGCATATCTTAGGAGGTTCTCTCAAAAATGCGAAGAGGTTCACAGAGTTCACCCTGCTTGGCCAAGAAGGGCTTTTCATGAGGCACCCGTGAGTGAGTGCTCGGCAGGTTCTTGGCAGGATTCCTCCGGTAGCCACACAGAAAAACCCACTGACCAGACTAAAGCAAGGTACACTGGCTCCCAAAACAGTCATCTCTAGAGAACTGTTTTGTGTAGACAAAAATGAAACTTGAAATACACACACTGTTTGTATGTTTAAATTTTAGAAAGTATGTGTGCGGTGGCACTAAGCAGATCAAGAGCAAATACAGGGCCGGCCGAGTGGCGCGATGGTTAAGAACTCGCTTGGGATGCCAGAGGGCCCCGGTTCGGATCCCACATATGAGGGCCAGTGACACTGCCCTCCACAGCTAAGATGCTGAACAACAGCTCAACCTGGAGCTGGGCTGCCGTGAGTCGCCGGCGATGGCGTAGGCTGCAGCCCCTGTGGCAGTGGGTTGCCATGGGCTACTGTGTGTAGCCAGCAGCCAGCGTGAGCGGCCAGCAGCCGCAGTGAGCGGCCGTCCAGAAGCCGGCGACTGATCTGCCTCGCCAGAGAAGAGCGCAATGATGGTGCCAACTTGGGCCAGTGAAGCAACATCCTCCACAACTAGATTGAAGAACAAAACGACAGCAACTTGTCTGTTCCCCTTCCCCCAATTCCCCAGCACTGTTCCCATCCCCCCAATTCCCCAATAAAAATATTTTTTAAAAAAAAAGAGCGAATACAGATCATAAGCTTTTAGCGCTGGAAGAGACCTCCATAGCCCATTTACCACTGGGAAACCCTCACTTTACAAGCAATACTAAGTCAAAACTGACTGCCAGCTTAGTGTTTGTTCTTCCTCTTACACCCTGCTCTCCAATCAATCGTGGAAGCAGTATTTTGAAGCATATTAAAATACAGTTACAACTCAGTTGCATGATAAATCTTATTTAACAATGTTACCAAAAAAAAACCATGAAAGATTAAGAAGTAAAAATCTTTAGAGTATTCCCTGCTGGGGAAGAGGTCGGATGAGGTTGGCTCTTTCTTTATACAAATATGGTATAATTTCACAGTCAGGAGAAAACTATGTACAAATTATATACAAATCACTTCTCTCTCTCTTTTAAAACTGATCACTTCCAAACGAGTACCTCTAGCGAAAAGATACAAAACATGGTATCTTACTTCACTTACACAGAATGCTGAAATGACATAGTAACCATTTCTTCTCAAATTGAAGTTTAAAATATTTTCTAAATAAGGTATTTTCACTGTACTATAATTAATTTCCTCTAATACAATATATTTAACAACAGAACCAGTCAAGTAGGCTTATTTCTCCGCCATAGTTTTCTTTAAAACTCTGATTTTTTTTAATACTTCTAAGACAGCCACCTAACGTGATTTCTCATTGTATTCATTTCCTCAAATTCCAAATGACAATTCCTCAACTAAGTACATTTTTGCAAGCTAAAAAACAAAGAAACAACAACAACAAAAAAAAACCCACATGCTTATACACATTAAAAGAGAACATTAAATGATTTGTACAGGATGAAATATCTGCATGAATTTTTGAAATTTTAAAGACAAAACATAATTCTCTAAATAAATTCATAATTGCTCCCTGGGTTATCTCCAAAGACAGGTCTATACACTCCTCTTTTATTAAGAATACTTCAGTGAAAATTTGTGACAAAAATTAGTATCAATTCTGCCATTAATCAGTTGTGTGATGTTGGGCAAATCATTGAAGCCTGGGGCTTAAGCTTACATAGCAAGTCAGAATATTTAATATCTAAGATATTTTCAAGGTTTCTCAACATCTTCCTAAGACATTAAGTACCATCTTTATTTCCCTTGAATTCTAAAAGTCAAGAATATCTTTAAATAACAAAAATTAGCATTTATATATAAACTACATTATACCCAAGAACTTACTAGGAGGCCAACACCACCTTAGCTAAATGAAAACTGTAGAACATTATAGACTATAATGGCATGAAATGTACCTCGTCTCATGTCTCAGCTTTTCAAAAAAAATTCAGAAATGTATTTTCACATCTGGATGGCTCTGCAGAAGCATTTTTCCACTCTGCCACGGCCTTGGTTTCTTTCTCTTCCCACCCCACTGCCTCAGTACCTTTATGCTCTTAAACCTACCTGGTTTATGCCACAATCTTAGAAAGGAAGGAAGGAAAGAAGGAAGGAGGGATGGGAGGGAGGGAGGGAAAAGAAAACCTTCTAAATCAATTATGCTTAAAACCAGCTATTGTCCAAGTCTATATTTGTGAAAAACTGTGTGCATTTTTTATCATTTAGCAATCTAGATTTTAATATCTGAAAACTGTGTTCCGCTAATGTTGGAAAATTTAATTACGGTTTTTTCTTTACATTCCAACTGACGATTCTGCCATCGCCAATGAGTTCATGAATAAAATAATCACCAGGGTTGAGAAAATCTGCCTTTTTTCAAGTAGGAAGCCTAACAGAGTAGCTGCTTTTGCCAAGTTCATTCACTCCACATATATTTATTATCTACTACAGGGCAGGCACTATTTATTCTTCATAGTAAGGATACACAAACCGGCAAAAGTCTGCCTTATGGAGCTTGTAGCTTGGAAGACACACACCATCAGCAAGCAGTAAACATACTGTACAGACAAATGATATGGGACGTGCTGTAATGTGCTGTTGAGCAGAAAAAGACCAGCATGGCAGATTAAGAGTGTTCTGGGAATGAAGGGAGAGAAAGCTGGACTGCAGTCTTAAACAGAGCAGGTCAGGGTAAGACACCTTGCGCAGGCAGCTCTGAGCAAAGACTCAGAGCAGGTGAGAAGTGAGCCAGGTTGAAGCTTCCTACTAATTTTGACCTTGCACTGACTATGCATGTAATAACAAATGCCTTATCAATAGAGTCGTGTATGAGCAAATTTATGAGCAGCTCAGAGGAGTAAATAGAAGAGAGCTGTGGGCGAGCCCCCTTCTTTATTGGAGCTTGAGTTACCAAGTGAAGCTTACATCACCCATTAGGCATGCTCATTGTGCATTTTTCCTCCTAAATGCGGTTTTGATCAAAATTCTTACTTCTGTGATTCATTTTCCTTAAAACTCAGGAACAAATGTCCAAGTATTCACTTGACACATACAAGAACATCCGTGTTACCCAACCAACATCGACCCCACAGAGACACCCCAGCTACTTACTACATCAGGACTTAAATCTCACGATGGGAACCCAGAAGACACCGAAGCTTTCTCCCACTGGAGAAACAAACCTCTGCTTTCCTAGAGGTTTTAGTGGGGGAAACACAGGGTTTGGTGGGGACAGACCAGACTGGGGAATGAGGAGGCCTCACCACCAACCAGCCGTATAACCTTGAGCAAATCACGTCACCCCAGGGCTTCAGTTTCCTCAGCTACAAAATTGGGGTACTGGACCACGTGATTTCTAAGTCAACTATGGGGGCCAAGTCCATTTCAGAAAAGAACTTCAGGTAAATAACCCTCTATCAAAAATTATAATAACGTTTGCTTTGTAACTGCACTAACCCATCATACATCCATACACTTGACCTTGTTCTTCTGAGAACCGTAATGAATTTACACCGACCCATGCATAAAGTCTCAACTCTCCCACGCTGATCAAAAGCACAGATTCACAAGAATGGGTCTTGACTAGTTCACCGAAGACAAAAAGAAGCTGTAAAAGGATGGTTCTCTTGTCTTAGCTTTATTAGCAACATACTCGTATATTAGACTAATATGGAAATTCTAATGTAACACAA